TTGGATCAGTTTTGCTTTGGCCATTTGTAAATCGACCAAAATTGGATGACTTGACCATTGATATACATTAATATTTTATATTTTAAATATAATTTTCAATATGAAAAAGTGAGAAATTTCCCATATTTCTTAGTCTAAAATGTTTTATATCATAAATTTCATTTTTAAATTTATTTTTTAACAATTGCACGATAATTTTTAAAATTTAAATTTAACTTTTAAGCTTAAATATTTTGAACCAACTAACAAAACCAAAAAATCGACCCAAACTAATACAACTTGAGTGGGTCGGTTTTCACAAATGGTCAGTTTGTTTCAACTGACCAAGTCAATTTGGTTGGCAAAATAACGTACAACTCAATTGAACCAAACCAAATCATCAACACTCATAATTTCAAATAAATTAATAGTCTCATCTTTGATAAATAATAATATTTTAATCTCCAATAATTGTTGAAAATTTATAGCGAAAATACACAATTATTGAAAAATATATGGAAAACACAATAATTGCAAAAATACAATAAGTACTAAAAATATATTAAATTAGTCAATAAATAGTATAATCTCAAAAAATAGTATAATATCTAATAAACAAAATTTAAAAATTTCAATAATAGTAGTTTAATCTCCAATAATTATCAAGAGTTTTTGATAAATAACAAAACAAAAATAAATTTATACATAATTATATTGAAAATATACTTATCACAAAAAATAATAAATAATTACTGAAATACAATAAATATTAATATTAAAATATATAATTATGTAATAAATATATATTAAGAGTTTAAAGTTATTATTAATAAATATTAACTTTTATGAAAGTTATTTTCTCAAATTATTAATTGATATAAGTGAAATTATTTACTTACAATATTATGTAAAAATATTAAATTATTATTAAAGTTATTTAATTATTAATTTTGTAAGATATTGAATTATTATTAATTTCAATATTATGCCATAATTATTTTTATACTTTTAAGAAATTTTTTAAATTTATTACATAATTTTGTTATTTTAACTATTTAAAATCTAGTTATGTTAAATATTTATTTAAATATTTAAATAATATGTAAAATATTGAATTTTTTTTGTTATTTGAATTTTATTTATTTAAAACTATTACATATTACTAAATATTTTGTTGTATAGTTACTTATATATTTATAATATTTGTTATTTACGATATTTATTTATTGAAATATTTAAATAAGATTTTATTTTTAATGTTAAGTTTTTATTATTTGAATAAAATTTAAATTGATAATCCAGAAAACAGATTTTAGATTGTTAGTACATAATTTCGTGATATATTTTGTAAAAATATAAATTTATTTTTTTGTGTTTTTAATAAATATTTTTAAAGTTATTATATAATTTTGTTAGAATATTTAAATAACTCTTAAATTTTTTAATCCAAACTTTCTTTAGATAGATATAGATAAAAAGTTGGGGAGAGGATAAATAGAAATTAGAGATAATTTAGGAGAGAAACTCTCTACTAAATTAGAGATAATTTTTGAGATAAATAGCAATAAGAGATAACTTAGAAGATAAATTGGAATTAGAGATAATTTTGGAGAAAGTAGGGGAGGTAGTTTAGGAGAAATGTAAGGAAAAGAGATTATTTAGGTTATTGGAAAAGTGCATCTCATTGGTTGTTTCAAAAATGACATGGAATAAAAAAATAAAATAAAAAATTCAAAAAAAGGAGAAAATTTCTTATCCACTTTGTTTTAATATATATATATATATATATATATATATATATATATATAAGAGATTATTTAGGTTATAGGGAAAGTACATCTCATTGGTTGTTTCAAAAATGACATGGAATAAAAAAATAAAAAATTAAAAAAAAGAGAAAATTTTTTGATCGCTTTGTTTTAATATATATATATATAAGGTTATTTTATTTTACATATTCACATAAGTGCTGGGATAGCTTCATGGCTTAAGAATATATGCTCAAGTTTGAATCACCTCAACGCTCTTTTTTAGGAAAAGGCATGCGCATGCGCATTCGTGTATCGCGCATAGCAATGTGGATTATTGGTTCAAATCGGTATGTATCAGACGATACAATGCGATACAGAATGGCACATATCCATATCAGTCCGATATGCACGACTAGCAAGATACACCTATAGTCGTAGTGTATTCTAGGGGTGTCCATGAAAAACCGAAATGAATTGAGAAAACTAAAGCGCAAAATGCAATTAATCGAACCGATCGATTCAGTTTTGGTTTGGTATTTTTGAAAAACCGAATGACTGGTTCTGTTTTCGGTTAACCTACAAAAAAACTGACAATTAACCAAACCGACCAGTATATATGTTTATATGTATATTTTATATATATTATATATAAATATATATTCATTATATATATATATATATAAATATATGCATATATTATATTTATAATAATCTATTTATAAATATATTATATATTTTTAAAATATTTATAATATATAACATATCATTTATTATTTATAATCTAATATTATACATATATTTATATAATATATTATAAATATAAAAACCGAAGAGCCAAACTTGTCAAAAACCAAAACCGGCAGACCGGTTAACCAGTGTTACCGGTTTAGTTTCGGTTTGGAGAAATAAAAAAACCAATGATATCGGTTCGGTTTGCAAAAATTGCCCATGGTTCGGTTAACCAAACAATGGACATCCTTAGCGTATCCTGTGCTCGATGTTACCAATACTCATATGATACACCCCGTATCAGATGTATTGTATTGATATTTTAATCCTTGCCCAGCAGGCAGTAGCCAATAAGGCTGCAACTTGGGCTAGGTTGGCTCGAACCCAACTCGAAAAAGTCGAGTTGGTTTGGGTCGGGTTGATGCTCGGGTTAGGGTTAGGGTTGAAATTCATGAACCCGACTTTATTTTGGATTGGTTTAGGATTTAACCCTTGGGCAACCTGACCCAACCCAAACCCGACTCTATTGTATATGTCATATATAAATATATGTTATATATATTATATATCTTACATTGATTTGTTTAGTTGTATGATAGTTGTATAGCCCTCACTACATACTATCATGTATTTCTTTTAAGATAATCACTTCACTTAATCTCAAATAAAAAGACACTAAAACCTTAATAACATATTTTATGTTTTTTGGATATTTTATTCTTTATCTCCTCTCTAATGTTTTCCGCCCATAAAAGATCTATCATAACTCATAATAAAATTATAGTCATTTCAAACACTTATTTTTCTGAATTTTGTACTAAAACTAAAAGAACCAATAAAAACATCAACAAACAAATACTAATAGTTTTATGAGATTTTAAGGAATGGGAAGAAGGTTGAGTTGGGCCCAACCTGAAGTTGACTTTGGGTTAGATTAGATTGGGTAAGGGGTTGAAGGAATTTATTTAGGGTTAGGATTAGAGTTGGATATATTGGGTTGAAGGTTGGATTGGGTTAAGATTGAAGATTTAGAACTTAGGATTGAGTTAAGATTGGCTTCAAACCCAACTAACCCGGCCTAACTTACAGCCCTAATAGCTGATAAGATCACTCGGCATTATGTCATGTGTAAATTTGTAACTGCTTTTTAGACACATGGTCCCACCCTCGGTCTCTTTAAACGAGTCGGATTCGGATTGATTATTATCAGAATTTAATAAAAATATGATATTTAAATAATCTTCGCCAATAAATAAATATTAATTTCATATTAATAAGCACTTGTAAATGCAAATATCACCAGGCTCAGATCAAATTAGATTGGGATACCTCAAAATTTGATTGGATTGTAAATTGATCTATCCAAATCCAGTTCAATCGAATCAAATTTCAAACTCGGACTCGCATAATACTCTGGACAAGTCAACTCAAAGCCTTACTCAGCCTCTACAATTGTTACCATAGGTCCACAGTACATTAGAGTTGCGTCCTTTTACCACTGTTTTTTAAATCGAACCGGATTGTATGATCAAATCATTTGACCTAGGAATTGGTCATGCTTTCGAGTTTGGTTTTGGATTGGACCACTTTTTTTTTTAAATGTTGAATTAGTTAGAAAACCGTTGACCTGAATGGTTGAACTATTAAACCGTTTGACTAGAGATGTAATTTGTTGTTTAATAAAAATTTATTTAATTCTTTTTAAAATTATTAACAGAAAAAAATGAGATTGAGAGAGGGGGGATGGATTGAGATGAATTCAGAAGTCAGATCTGAGATTAGAGAAAGAGAGTTGTTGTTGCCGTTAGTGTCATCATTGCTAGTGAACGCCCACCTCCTCTTTCTCCTTCTTCCTTCCTTTTTTTCTTTCTGGCCTTTCTGGCCTTTCTACCTTCATTTCTTTTTTTTTTCCTTTCTTTTTTGCTCATAAAAAGATATGTATATATGTTTACCCTAATATTCCAATTCTAAGGGTCAAATCGAACCATTTGACTAAATGGTTAAACCACTAACTTGAAAACAGATGATAAAAGCTGTTCCATTTCCATTTCGATTTTTAAAACATTGCCCTTTTCATTATAAATGGAAATCGTCCATGGAACCGGAGGGTATTGGGCCAATCATGATTGTGCCACATCATTATGATATGAAACCTACGTGTACATATATGATGTGGTCTATATCAACCCATGTCAGGATTAAAAGTTAAAACATTAGTTTGATTTATTTTCAATGCAATTTCATATACTATATCAAACTACGTTGAACCCTCAAACCAAGCAATCTTCGATATTTCCACAATACAAAATACCCCCCTTAATGAACGAAACGAATCTGGTTCAGATGTCAAAGAACTACTTGGGTTTGGGTTGAGACTTGAGAGTGCAATGAATATGCAACAGCCTTCTTCACATCAAACATCATGTGTTTAAATTGAAAAGGTTGTAAGCCTCAAGTAGAAGTAGTAAATAAAAAGATTTACAACACATCTAAAAACAACAGATCGAAAGCCTAAATTAGCTTAATCTACAAAGTGACAAGTTAAGAACGTCTGGTTACAGTGAGCTTCAGTCCATGTTCCATTGATAGAATTGTCATCATCCTGTACTTGACAGGATGGTTGGGCACCAGTCTGAACTCGAAGAATCTGCACAAGATGGCGAGTGTCATCTTCATCTGCAGGTATGCGGAGTCCTTCCCCAGGCATATCCTGGGCCCAGCCTGCAAAACAAAGGAGCACGTTAATATATAATAATGTGGAGGTTAATTTGTGGAATGAAGGTGACTCTGTCTGTCTGTCTACTCCAGTATGAGTAAGAGTGACTAAAGTTACCTGGAATGCAGTGAACTTGAACGGGGAGGAGTTGTGGAAGAAGCCATCCTTGAACCATCTCTCAGGCTTGAAAGAAGCTGCATCAGGGCCCCAATTGTACTCCATTCTCCCCATGGAGTAGGGGACATAGGTCACCATCCCTCCTGCTTTAAGTTTGGTTCCATCAGGCAACACATCATCCTTTAGGATGCCCTTGGGGTCCTACAATTGTACATTCATTTTCAGATGGATCYAACCAAACATTTACTCTGCAAAAGCTAAACCAATTAAATGTAGTAGAAATTTCCGGGCTCAGGTGAGGATTCTGGTTCTGGACCACCATTTTAATGTCTCCCACATAATTTTATGTACTATGTCACGATCACTATGCCTTATGAGCTTAACTACTCCTGAAATATCAGTCTCAAATAAGAACCGGAGACAGATGACACACCTGAGGGACTGCGGGGTATAAACGAAGTGTCTCTGTAATGGCTGCATGCAAGTAAGACAACTTTCCAAGCGAATCATAAGTTAGGAACCTTGCAAATTGGGTTACTCTTTCGTTGAATGATGTGTGGTCTTCTGGGTCGTATGGAAGCAAACAGAGCTTCTCTTCTTTGGYCCTATCTTCCTCAATTGCTTTGAGCTCTGAGTACAGCTTAGCAGCTACATGTGGATGAGTCATTATCATGTAGATAAACCAACAGAGTGTTGTGGCCGTTGTGTCACGTCCAGCAATTACGAAGTTGAGGACCACATCTCTTAGGCTCTTGTCAGTTAAGTTGTTGTCTGGGTCCTCGCTCAGCTCAATGAATCTTGACAGTATATCATGCTTTATCTGATAAAACTCATCATAGGTTTAATCCGTTAAATGAGGAATAAACAGAGCAACAGAGCGAAAAATAAACTAAGTTCCTAGTTTTGGATTTTGGGTAACAATTAACAAAATGGTTTAATCATCATCAGCCTGCCTACCTTAACATCCTTACTGTGAACTCTAGCTTCTTGTATCTCTKCTTTCCTTTTCCTAATCACAGAGTATGTGAAACCATCAATAGTTTTAATGCTTTCATCAAGTTGAGCTTCAGAGCCCACATTGAGGAATTTCTTTATTCTCCAAAGAGGATCAATRAACCGAAGAGTGACGATAATGTTTGCAGTGTCAAAAGCCCGAGCAAAGCAATTCTCAGGTAACTCAGGAGCCAAGCTTCCAATTTCTACTCCAAATCCCACCTTACATATAGAGTCCAAGGTCATCCTCATTAATAATTCCTAACCAAGAGAAAYTCCAGAACCCATTAGCAATGCAACATGGTTATGGTTACAAAATGTAAGATTTAAAATGTATGTTATTAGGGACATATAACAGAGCAGAAACTTGTGAGTAGAATATAAATATAGGGTCAGAGAGTTGCTAGTGACCTGCATGTCTACTTGTTGGTTTTGAGCAGATGTTTGGGATAAAATATAAGAGAGCTTCAAKGCATACTCTCTAAATACAATGGTGCTGAAATCCCTCAGGTTCTTGGATGCAAACTCGAAACTTGCAGTCTTCCTTTGCTTCCTCCACAATTCCCCATCTGAATTGAATATCCCATCTCCAAGCARAACTTCCATGTACGAATGGTAAACTTCACCCTTTAAAGAAAGAAAAGTATAAGATCTTAGAAATTCAGGATCTATCTTCAAGGACAAACAAGAAAAATAATCTACTTGACTTAATATATTTTACCTTGGGATAGTTAGCAAAGTTAGTCTTGAGAACATGCTCCACATTAACAGGATCTGCAATGTAAGTATAAGTAGTGAAGGGCATAGGAACCGTCACAGTTTTCAATTCAGACAGATATTCCACAAGCCAATCGTGCATCCGGTTGTAGTTCATTAGCTGTTCAATTGCTGCTCCAACAAGAGGCCATGTTTTAGGTCCTTTCATGTTCCTCTGGTTCCATCTATGAACAAAGACCCATGATATAAGCATGCAAATGAACACCACCATTCCCTTGCTGTATCCAGTTGGGGATGAAGAAATTGATGAAACATTCTGTTCTTCCATTTCAGAAACAAAATGAATAGAAAGGGCTATGTAAATTTTARCAGATATGTCAAGAGGATTTGGTGCTTATAAAAGGTATGGGAAAACAGTAGCTAAGATGTGGGTGATTAAGTGGTGAAACCAATGAACCTGCTATCTTTTACCAGCAATCTTCTTGTGTATGGGTGTAAGGATGCCTTCATTCCTTTAGTGTGGSAAACCTAACTCAAGTTGTGCATATTAAGTATAAAAATATGTTGGATGTGCAAAGAATATGCATATTATATAATTATATTCCTAATCTATATAGACATAGATATATACATATAAATATACATGCATGTATTMTTGTAGCACATATTCATCCTCTGTTTATTCCTAGCATACTGCATCTGCATGTACATGTAAGTAGGGGTTAACATGGATTGGTTCGGTTCAATTCCAAGCCAAAAGTTGGAACTTATCCTGTCAAAGTGTCAAGATTGGTTTCAGGGTCAGTTTTGGTCTTAGTGGTTGAAACCTATTATTTCTTTAATTCCCTGCTTACAAAAATGTAACATGTTCTTTACAAATTTGATTTTTATACTCAGTTTGGGAATTATACAAATACAAATATGTATAGTGCAAATACATACAAAATAATACAAAATACAAGGTATTGCATTCTACGTATTTGTATTTCTACTCCTTCCAAATTGAGCCTTAATAAAAACAACAACAATTATAATGATAATATAGTTCAAAATTATATGTATTGACTTTAAAAACTTGATTTTCAAATCTTCACATCCTCAAAGTATTGGGATTTATTTCAAGGCAAGTTTAATTCCAAGGCCGGTTCCACCAAGGTCAATTGGATAGGTAAACCCTTGGGCCCTAGAATCAACCTAGGTGGATGTCGATTTCAAGAATTTGGAACCAGACCCTACCTAGTAACAGCTTGGGTAGGGTTGGTTCAAGGTTGGTTCCATTCAACTCTAGGTAAAACCTTCCCATTTGCTCACCCCCTACATGTAAGTTCATCAATTTCCAATCTCAACTTATAATTGCAATTGGAGTGAATTCAAATTAAATTAGAGAATTCAATATCTAAATCAGACCAATTAACTGTTTTAATTAATTAATACAAATGTGTATATTAATATATAAATATTCTATTTGCATAAATAATATATATATATATATATATAAAACTTATATTTATAATATATGTAATCAGTTTGGATATTTATTGAATCAAATCATGTCATATCCAATTTCAATTTAATTAAATCAAATCTCGAATTCAAACTCAGAGTTTCGAATACCGTTTACACCCCTATTCACATAGTTCCCCATATATATGTGTAACTATCGTTGGTTTCGTGGATGGAAAGAAAAAAAAAGTTTTACTTAATTTGAATAATTGAATTACCTCATGGAAAAAGAAATGAACAATAATAATCACAATTCTCATTCAAGTATTATCATGCACAAAAAACATGTGTATTGTGTGAATAAATAGAAACCCAAACAAATTTCATGTGACTCAACAAAAAGGGCAGTTATTTCAGCTAGCTGTTGTTTTGGCAGTATTAATCGCTTGTTATATTCAAGCAACCCAAGCCCATCTATTCATCTTTCCTATTTGAAGTTTTCTGTGAGAAACCTAGTTTCAGATAATTTAGAATTAATACAAAATCCTGGGAGAGGACAAAATTACATGGTTGTAGATCTTTTGGGTAGTTGGGAAATAAAAATGTGCTACAATGGTGTTTTGAGAATTTGGTAAAAATTGCTTTTAGGAACATAAAAACCTATAGCTAAAACATTTTTGAGCCCCAAAGCACAAACACAAATAAAATTGGGGTAAAAGACTTAAATCTTCCCTAATGTTTCACCTAAATACTGAAACATCCCCTCACTTTTTAAATTGGACTAAACCTCCCCTTTGAATGATGTCAGCAGACAAAAACCTCCCATACGTTGCCTCTCCATTATTTCTGTTAGTACATGACATCATGTGCATTAAGCTTATTGAAAAATCCAATTTTGCCCTTAGAGAAAACTTTCTCCTTTTCACTATGTGACTTTTATCTAATGTGGACAAAAACCTCCCCTTTCTTGCACCTTCTTCTAGGAATGGCAACGGGGTGGGAATCATATCCTCCGTTCCCGACCCCGATTCTGAAATTAACCCCTATCTGGCCATCCTCATCCCTGATCCCCACTGGGGATTAAATTTGTTCTCCTCCATTCCCGATCCCAGACGGGGATGGGTTCCCCGTGGGGACCCAAATCCCCGAAATGTTTTTAGATAACAATATATTTTTTTTAAATTAAATTTACTTAAAATAAATAAAATTTTTAAATTATAAATAATGTTTTAAATATGTTTTGATATATATATATAATAAAAATAATATAATAGTATTAATATAAATAATATTTAATATATATGGTTTCGTTTCTGGACGAATTGTCATCGTAGTTTTTCTACATTTGTGATTTCTTCTTATCCTTTGAATTCGTTAGAACAAGGCATAAAGTAAGAAATTATCGTCTAATTATAGACTTGAGATTTAGGTTTCTTTCGTTTTTGACCTAATAAACCAAACAAAAGTTTTTGGCCTAACAGACTTGACACTATTTGTAAAGCTATTCTTTCCTCTTGAATGACTAGTAATTAAGTACATGGGTTGTGTGTGAATTTTTTTTTCATATTAATTACTTGAATTTTAGATATATCATAGTTAAGATGAAAATTAAATTTTAATTTCTTCATATTAAGGCAATAAAATCATGTGAGAAACTCTTGGCTGTGAAATTTACACTAACTTAATAGAAATTGATAACTTGATTGTACAAGTGGTTGGTCCCTTTAGTTCTTTTATATAGTTTGATTAATATTGTATACGTTTGTAAGAAAAATAAAAAAAAAATATTGAGAGAGGGAGCAAGAGAAAGATTGAGGGAGAACGATAGATAGATAGATATATATATATATATATATAGAGAGAGAGAGAGAGAGAGAGATTACTATGAGAATGAGAGATAAGGAAGGGGGATCAAGAGATAGAGGGAGCGAGAGAAAAATTAAAAACCTATTTTCGGTATAGGTTTTTTGTTGTGCCTAACATGGATTAAGAGTCTCATGTTGACAACAACCACATAAGCCTACGATAACAAGGTAGGGGTTTTATAATTTAAAATGTAGAGCCGGTTGTTAGAGTTTTGTTACTTTCTTAGCCAACTTGCAACCTAATTTTAAATGTACAATCGACTTTGACTATGATTTTCCCTTTAAACTATATATTTTATTTACATTATAGAAATATTTTTTACTTATCACACTTAATTTTTGTTTGTCTATGTGGTATCATTTGACCCAACCACTAACCCACCACCTAAAAAGAAAAATAGTTTGATTTCTAGATTGACATTAAATTTTTTATTACATTTCCATCATTGGTATAATTATTTCTTATGTATAATACTTATTTTTGTTCAACATAATGAATGCATAATATTAAAGATGAACCAAATATTTTATTTTTTATAAATGTATAACATTAGATATGTGCCCAAAATTTTCTCTACCTTTTTTTTTATTTTTGTGATTCTTTGTATTTTCTATTTTTTAAAATTTTATTATTTGACTATGACATCATTTTGTTTCTAGGTAGATTTTAAATTTGGTCTTCCATTTTAATAATTAATAAAAATACTTTTTACATTTCATACTTATTTATTTTATTTTTTATTACTTAATTATGACATTATTCATTAATCCATTTGACCTCAAATGGTCGAATTGCTTGCCCACCATTGGGAGGAAAGAAAATGATTTTGTTTTCAAAATATTTATTTTATACTATTAAAATTAATATTGTAGATTTAATTACAATAATTTAATGATGAGAAAAATATATCTTAAATATAGGATTTAATGAGAGAGAATAGGAAAACATTTTCATTTCCAATTGGTTTTAAATTTTACATTCCATTTCCATCATTAATAAATACATTTATTATTTATCATGCTTACTTTTGTTTAATATGTATGTTACATTTTATTTTAATTTCCAATTGGGTCACGAGTTACACACTAAATGTGTATGCAAACTTTGGAAAATCATAACTTTGCACTCCGATGTCCAATTAAAGTGGGTTTTTCTTATTTTGGGTAACTTTTTGAGATCTATGCATTTTGCCCCCTAATTTCACACAAAAAAAAAATCTTTTTTTGGCATCGAATTACAATTTTTAATATTTTTTTATAAATAAAAATTAAATATAATTGTACATTTAAAATACATGTTTATACGAACCTACACACACATGTACGTATATGCATATGTATACATATATGTATGAATTTACATATTACTGATGTGGTATGGTTTGATACATTCGACCCGAACGGCTGAACCAATGACCCATGACCTGAAGGCAAAAATGATTCAACCTCTGGGTCAGTTTTAAAAACATTGTTACAAACACCGGGATTGGTCACCATTATCTAGTCCAATTAACAAAGGGGTTTGTATTGTTCAGTCCACCCCAGAAATCTGAGCCCCACTGTACAAGTGGGATGAATCGTAACTATAAAGCGATGCCGAATCCATGGACAGGATGCAGTTTATAGGGGAGGGGGGCTACTAGTAGACTAAGAGGGAACTGTAATTTCAGATTTCTGAGGTGGAGTACAGTCTACTTCTCCCATTAAAAAAAGATTGTACCCCTAATTTTTGAAAATCAGGGTTGACCTCACAAAAGTGTACTCACATTATCCTAACAGTCCCTTCCAATAGTATGTTGACAGTATTTTTCCATGAATAAAAACACAAGGACTGAGATATTCCTAATGCAGGGTTGCGAAAGGCTGTGATGAGGACAGTTCTCTAAGGAATAAATCCGAATTCTAATTTTTTACACTGTATAATTTTGTTTTAATAATGGGTTGAAACAAAGTTAATTCCTTTTCTTGAAGGGCCGGAAGACAAAATTATGTACCATGCATTTTACATTGAGAAAAAATATAATCAAGCATGAAAAAGAAGCATTCCATTAAAATTAAGTTCAAATCTGCTACGTCTAATCATACAAAATTAAATTCTTGCACATGGACATACCCTCGCTCATGAATAAAACAAGAGGTATATTTTATACTTGATTTGGCTTCACGTCCGTCCAGACAAGCGACGAGCGTGCAGAAAATTTACTACTTTCCCCCGCTATGGACTAATAGACTATGTGGATGTGTGGATGATTACTCATCCTTGTCATCGTCCTCGTCGTAGCTGAACGGGAGAGGTACTGACTTGAATGCACGATATTTTCCAACGTTGTTCAAGTGTTCATTCTCCAACCTGATGATGGATTAAAAGGGTTCAAGTTCAAGGTCTCATCAGTGACAAATGCATGCATTTAGAAGCACTAATATAATTAACCTAATTCACTGATCGATCGGTGAAGCTTTTATATACCAACCTGAAGAAATTCCATATCCCACGACGAATGATCTCTAGGCTAGCAAAAATCGTAACTAAGGCTTGTTTATGTAATTTCCTGGGCTTGAGAGGCACCACAGTTTGCAACCACGCAAATCTCAGCACCACATTCAATATCTGCATCGGAGGTCGGAATGAGAATAATGAGTAATGAGCGCCACATACACTTTTATGATTGCATCAAACGTATGTTATCCCTAATTAATTTCTTACACCTTACCATGGCTCCAAAATATACGCTTTGATGGGAAACGAGAAGCTTGTCCCTCAACCAGGGGTTATTAGAGTGACGCTGCAGAAGCCCCCAGTCAATGATAATGTCCCAATATGTGCTTCCCACTGTTGAAATGGCTGAAGTTGTTATCGCTAGGATTTTCCAAATCTCTACCTTTTGCAGGTTGTAAGCTGTTCTCATGATGACAGCCACAATCGTCGATAGGTACTTGAGCGCATTGTATGCTTGCATTCGGTCTTTTTCTTCGTAAAACCGGCGAGCACACTAATTAAATTTAAATATATAGCTTCAAAATGTCAAGTGCTGCTGCCCGCCGACATTATATTGATCGGAAAATATATGGAAGCTACTATCTACTGATGTTAGTTGGCTAGTTGCAGAATTGAATCATCATCAGTAGATGTATTGGGACAACAATAACCTACCTGAAGGAAGCGGCACCAGTATGGAATTACGGCCACAATGAAATAGAAAGTGTTGTAAACGCCGCTAACGTTGCATTTGTGTTTTCTCTTTTCGTAATTTCCCCAACCATAGTAGCAGATGTACAGCTCCAGGCTTCTAATTGCTTGGACCTGTCAAAACAAGCATAATAATGTACATACCACTACTCGTTAATTAACCAACCGGCCGGAAGATGTTGTTACAGTACTACTGTTTTAGATATCAAACCTGACTTGTTAGCTGGTCGGCCAAGAAAAAATCCGAGAGGGTAACCTGTAAGAGAAAAGAAAATTATCAAACACATTCATGAATCATGAATCGTGATGATGAACCAAACAATTCTTTGGCGTATACAAGTTTTCTTATTGGGTATATTATATACCTTGTAGAGAGGAACACAGAGGCAGTGGAATGCACACTGGAGTAGGAAGAAGCGATTTGAGCGGTAGATAATATTGAAGGGGCAGAATAATATGACAAGTAGAAGCTACACGTATATATGGGGAGACGAAAGAGATCAATACATCAGATGATTAAATCAATCTATGCAAATTAATAGAAGAAAGAAGAATATCATACGATGAGCAGTCCCACAGGCAGTAGTTCGCTGGGTCCAAAGGTTTTTGTTTTCCGATCCACTTCCATGTCCAGGTTTGAGATGACAGTGGCAAGCGCAAGAACTGCAAGGCTAGAGCCGAGGAGGAAGACTTCCCGGAAGCCCAACTCCGTCCCTTGCTTGAAACCAAATATAAATCCGTAATTGACTCGATATCGCCTCCAGAAATATATATCCGCCCCAAACACGAGCATATGTAGGACAATGTATCCAAACAAGCTGCAAGGCCCACGAAAATTCACTCATCATCATATCTGGTTATGGGCCTTATGGCAGATCAAGATTCAAGGCTATATAGTAGTCCAACAATAAGCCTAGCAAGCCGGGCCTAGTAGACCCAGCCCATGAAACCCAAGAAAAGGAAAAATAATAATATGCTTAGCATTTATTACTTTAATTACCTATAAAGTGGAAACATGCTGTCCATGTATACTGCACTCCCTTGCAATGTTATGAGCTTTTTGAGATGTATAATGACAACAAGAGCTACGATAAGAGCTATTGTGCAGCCGGTAAATAGACCTGAGCATTGAGCAGGGTGAAATATTAAGAAATGATTTAATCCAAGTGCTATAAAGTACGCAATGGCAATGGATATAGCATTAAACTAAATGTAAGCAAACACCACAGGTCCATCCGACAGGTTATGTGTAACAGAAATATTGGATCCTAATTGGTAAAATAAGTAGCAACTTACCGATTAAAAAGGTTATCCTGTGCCTTTCAGCCTTTGCTTTTGGCTTCAAGATGTTTATGCCTTTGCTGCGGTTTGAGTTGGTGAAGTGCTTGATGAATGTAGCTTCTACCCTCTCCATGAGTCTAGTGGGCTGTGAAGAGCCCAAGCCAAACAAGGTTCATCAAATTAATTGATAAATCAGATATATATATATATATATATATATATATATTAATAAATGCTCATCTGTTCAATAAGCTTAAAGCCCAAACTATATATGTTCAAATCCATGACATTTCCATGGGATATATAATTCATCAAAGTCACCAATATGAAGTGCCAAATTCATAAGACCCATATGAAATTATGATCCTAGAAGTCTTCTTCTACACTATAGTAGTCAACTCAGGGTTTTATTCCCAATCTAATAAGATAGTATTACTTCATCTTTGGCAATCAATATATAAACAAAACTAGATGTTTCATGTACTGGATGCATCATCTGTTCATATGTGATGTGATAAAGGACAAAGATAGTGTAAATATTCTTCAGTCAAATTGTGGCAATGTCATTGTCTCATTGACAAGGTATCAGTTAATGGTTGGACTTGAGTTAAAAAAAGAAAAAAAAAATCCATTGAGGGTCTTAATTTAGGGTTTTATTTCTTATAAATAGTTTTTATTAAGACATTATAATCAGATTTTGATGATCGAATGAAGTCAATGAGTTTTGATTGGAATTTGGAGCCCCCTGATTTAAAATGGGAATATATATACAGAGTGAGATGTTGTACCTCATCAGAGTTGCCAAGGAAGGAGTTATCCACCATTTTCAAGTAGGCTTTTGATGCATTTCTTGCAGTGATCTGCAATAAAAGACTTTACAAAGTAAGTAGCCCTGGGTTTCAGGGCCAGGTTCGCATTGGACAAATTTAGTTGGGAATTCAAATATAAAGACAACATTTGAGTAAGAATTTGGAGATACGACCTTGTCATATTTCTTCATGATCTTCGAGAATGCCAAGATATTGAGGAAGCTGGTTAATTGATCATTAGCAAAATGATAAATACACTCGGCCAATAATACGTATAAGCCACAGAAAATCAAAGATACACTACTGCAAGCTCAATGCTAGTTACTGATGGTAATCAATTAAGGGTCCGTTTGGTTTGCAGGAATAGGGGTCTGGAATTGGAATCGGAATAGGATATTTCGATTCCAAATATTTGGTTGGGCAGAATCGGAATCCCATTCTCATTTTTGTTGGAGTGGCATTCCCCCATTTGAGGGAATGGCCTCCTTTAGGAATGAAATTTCATTCCTGTTCATTTTAATTCCCATTCTCAGTTCTATTTGAATCAAACAGACTATGGGAATGGACCATTCCGATTCCAATTTCAGAGGATTTCGATTCTAACTATGAACCAAACGGACCCTAAATTTGTACCTGTAGCTCTTCAACAGCCGAAGCTTTTGGTAGAACTCAACAAATGCCCGCTTCAGTTGCTCTTCAACTTTCTTAAGATCCTTCTTTCTGAAATTCAACTCTGTTCCCTTGGAAGCTTTGAGAACACCTCTTAGAGTGGAACGTGGAGTCTCCAGTGTGTTGTTGATCTTCACACGGTTAAGGACTTCTAAGGGAGCTGGTCTAGCCACCTTGATGCTGTTTGGTTGAGTTTCACGCCCAACACTGTGATGGGTAGTATTGGTTCCATCCATATCTGTTTCTTGACTGCACCCTTCTTCCGAGATCCCTCTGTTGCTAAGTTCAATTTCTTTTATGGCCTCCATGTGCCCTGCTGCAAATTAGGTCACCAGGAAAGTATGAACGTTTGAAGATATTTAGCTGTATTGTATGCAAATAAACTAAAAGAGCGCCTAAACCCCTCTCAATCGTCAATAATTATCTACAGGAGTTTAACTTCAGGTGAGACTTTGTTTGTTTGTACACAGGGCATTGGGAGACAATGGGTCTATAAGCCCTACATTTGTTTGTGATACAAATGTCTAATAACCAGATCACGTTAGGTTGCCATACAAAAACATAATGATTAAATGTCAAAAATGTTTCTTCTTGACATCTTTGTATCATGCTTTTTGGTTATAAATTCGTGTTCTTTTGATCATAATGAATGTGTTTGACTGAAAATTTGAGGCATTTAACGATGTGGTCTATATTTTGCACTGATTTCAAATAAATTGGAAGAATAAAAAAACGGGTTATACTTTGCATTATTGAACCAAAAAGAAGAAATTTATACTGAGTACATATTTACGTTTGCATCACAACCAAACGCAACAATCTTTTGGGGTAGAGAATTCAGCTAGGGATGGTCCAGCTTTTGCCCAACATGAAAACCTGTCCAGGTCCATCCATCAGGAAATAAACCTCCATGGTCATAAAATTTCAGGTCAGACAGACATACACATATATTAATGAAATTGATGGAATCCATATATGTATATAACATTCCAAAGCTTTCATATTTAGAAAGAAAATACTAATTAACTTATTTCAAGAATAGTCCCTAATTTGTAATTTACAGTCTTTTTCTCAAAATTTAAAACTAATGAGGCTTAGACACCAGACATAAATTACCATGTCTTTTTCCCATTAATTGATGATAGAGGCAAGTGCAAATGAAAATACTCACCCCCTAAAACTTAAAATTGAACTAAGCTAATGACCCAATGACCCAATGATCCATGTCGTTGAATTAGGGTTCATTCTTTTGGGCTGGGCCAATAAATTTGAACAAATTCTCAGCCTGAGCTCACCTAAATTGCACACCTAGGCTGAACCATCGAACCTTATGATCCAATCAATTGGTGAAAGGCTCTTTTGTTTGGTGTGTATGTTTTCAGCCATTTCCATCAATAATAAAACAACCCTTTTTTATCATATTTATTTTTGTTTAAATAATGCATCCATTTTCATACTTATTTTTACCGTAAAATGTTTTTATTTAAATTTTTTACATTATGTAATTAGTTATGTAAGCATATAAATATCACATATAATTACGTAAAGTTTATAATTAATAAAATTAATATTTTATGTTTATAAAAACTTATTATATATTTATAAATTAAAAACTAATTTATTTTTTAACATATTAATTTTTTATCTTAAATAGAATATAACAAATTCAATTGAATCAGAATCCAATTGAAGTCTAATGGATTTTGGATTGGATTTGATTTGATTTGAAGTTTTAATAATTAGATCAGATTCAATTGTGGTCGGATACAATCCAATGCCAAATACCAATCCATAGCCCTAAAGACATGGCCGATTTTTTTTTCTTCTAATTTTGCATGTTGATCTATTTCTATGTTTTTAGGGAAATCTATATATACTGTTAGAAATACATGATATTGAAAGGGCTTTGACCAATCAAATCCCTCACCGTGTGAATTTCGATACTATGTTAATCATTTCTTTGAATTAATTGTGTTTGTCAATTGTCATCTAATGGTAGAATTCAAAAAAAAATATGAACTATTTCAATAATAAGAGATAATTTACGGGTATTTGAATTAATGAATTGACAAAAAAAAATTGAGGAATCCAGGAGAGAGAGATAGAGGCTAAAAAGGATTAAATTAAAAAATATATGGGCAGCCTTATCCAGTTCACAAGGACACGCCAGGATTCAATCAGATAAGACTCTGACAATACAAATGGCTCGATTGCATGCACCTGGGCATTGAAGATGATGCCAGCTAAAATGGAATGTAGCGTCATCATCCTCATCAGTCATCTCGTGGGGACCTGCTCCTAACAAACTGCACTTCACACGGACTTCACAGCCCCATGCCACTGTAGATTGAGAACATCTCCCCTTGAACAACAAGTTAATAACAAAAAATAGGGGAGATATTCGCAATATGCATGGTGAGATGAGGCTATGGGTCCGTGTGAGGTGTCGTCCTCTGTGAGGAGCAGATCCAGACTCTCAGTCATGACCCACATTTATTGAGACTCTTCCTTCCTGGACCGTCCCATTAAATTCAACTGATGACATAACGTAGCCTACGTGTACAAAGGAATGCTTTAATCCAAGGTGCATCACAAACCACAATTATGGAACATTATGTCCGTCCAGTGCCTCCCCCCACCCCAACCTAACTCAGTGGACCACTTGCATTTCTTTGACTCGAAAGATTAAAAAACAAAAAATCTCATCTCTCAATTGCCTTGCTTCAGCGTTACACTAACGGTACTACTGACTTTTTTTAGACCTGTTTTGCCTCGATAATCGATTTTTACTGGGTAGTGTAGTAATTTTCATATACTGCATCCCCCATTCGTGGCTCCACTACTACCACTAGTAAACGATCCTAGCCACACGGACACGGGTTAATGGTCATATACAGAACTTGTCATCATCTACCGCTACCGCTAGGGCGCTAGATACAATTTATCTCTGGATAGGTCTGCAGGGTGATGCCAGTGTCGGTATCGCTAGCAAAAACAAACCAACAAAACTGTACTGACAATGAAATACAGAGGAGAGGATCGATTTTGGTTGGAGTTTATTACTAACCGGCTGTTCTCCTAGCACCGGAGGGAGTGGAGGCCATCACCGCCGCGGCGGAGGTGGCAACATCTGAAGCAAGACGACTCATCTCCGCCGACTGGTCGAATACCAATGTGGGGTTTTCCACCTTGATCCGAAACGCTATCAACGCGTCCATCTGCTTATTAAGCATGGCTGCCTCCTTTCTCACCTCCTCCACTTTGGACCTGTAAAATTTGTTCACCTTGTTCAGCTCCTCATCTAGCCTCCTGAAGTAGACCAGTTCGTACTCCCCTCCTTCTTCCGATGACATAAGAAAATTGGTCTCGTAATGTCCCTCGGATCCCTCTTCCTGCACTGACTTCACAAGTATCACCTGGTCCTCGACGTCTCCTCCTCCTCCTCCACGGCTGGTGGGGCTTTTGAGGTTGTGGTACCTCTGCGTTAGGCCACTGAAGGCTCTGTACAATGTCATCTTCCGCTTTAAGTGAGGACCTGCTGCTGTATTCGCCGGTGGATTGGTTCTAAGCTTGAAGCGTTGGATATCTTTCAGGAGGGACTTGAGATGGTTATAGTCCATGTAGGCTTCTTGCCATTCTGGCACCATCTGTGAGATGAACTCCTTGCCGAACTTCATCTTCTTGGTACTACTGTGAAGGACAGTCCACAGAGAGGATGAAATAAATTCCACCTACACTACTAACATTATACAGTTCATTCAGCTCAATTGTGGTTTCTTGATCAAAGAGGAGATATAAACCACGCCTCTCTCTCTCTCTCTCTCCTCAGATCTGAACGAATGAAAAACAAGACAGACTTTAAAAAGCAGACAAATATGTCGTTGATAAACTTCAGATTTGTTTAACCTGTTGAGGGGCTTTCGAAAAAAAAATCTGCTGAAAAAGGAATTCTTTCTAATAGTTTTGAAAGAGAAGATAGTTTTATGACTTCATACTGTCAACTTGTAAGTTATATTTTAATCGAAAAGATTAAAGGGATTTATGAAAGGTTGATTTTTATTTTTTATCTTTTTAAGCCCTACGGTAAAATCATTCATCAATCATCAATTTACATCTCATCCATGATCGATGACCGTACAAAATCTGACAAATATCATACGGACTGCAGTTCACTGCATAATTCTGAAATTTACAGTCCACATAGTCTTCCAGTAGACCCCGGGTAGAATTTTGTCAAGCCCATACGAATTCATCTGATAACATACTTTTACAATCCAGCACGGCAGCACTAGAGCCGTCAATGGACCGGGTATTGGTCCAATGCAATCCGGTCGAACATGAATAATTTGGAACCACTCTGTTTAAATTGATTTAATTTAGATCGGGACCAATCCAAACCTGATCCTTTGAAACCTGTACTATGGATTAGATATTGGTTCAATCCAATCCGATTTAATATAAATTCATTACAGACGGGCTAGCTTCAACCCAACCTAATAAATATTTTGGACCATTAAAACTGAATTGACTCAATTCAACATGTCTTATTGGATGCCCGTTCAAATTGTTTTTGATTGAAACCATTCAACTCAAATTCAGTCTATTTGATACCCTACAGGCCCATAGAGGTTTCACATTCAAAGAATATCAGAATCAAGACATTGAAAATATCTCCGCAATCAAGCCATGGCACATGGGTTAGAAAGATAGAGGCCTTCATTTGCTTTTTCGGGAGATGCACAACTGACCTTCTTGGCCCGGTCCACAATGAACTGACCCCACTCATCTCGCCTGTAATAAGTAATAACAACTCCAACCGCAGCTAGCGGTCATTCCCAACCTCCATTTCTGTTGGTTTTAAAGTTAGCGGGAGCCTTCAACCATATTAAATGTACTTTATATCATCAATAGATTAGCGATTGCTCTCTATATATTATGTCAACTATTAGTCTTTTATATTAATAGAAGTATTTTATGTCTTTTATATATTATTTTATGAAGAAGTTGACCCAGTTATTTTTATATTAATAGAAGTGCAACTTGGACGGTCTCCATTAAAAAGAAAAATAACTTTGATTTCTCCATTACCAATATACTACGAGACAGAATCGCCCCTCTCTACAAGACTGCCCCCACAACGTCCCACACAACATTTCTTCCATGTAATGAGAATATTTTTCGATGATAATACTATGAATGATGATATCACCATTAAAAAATGTTCACAGAGATGTGCTGTGGGACTTTGTGGGGGTAGTTTTGAGGGGGGCTGATTTGAACTCCTATACTACCAAATTTCTAACTGAAAAAAAAAAAAAAAACACCAACCTTCTTTAGGATATTGTGGGCTTACCCATGGGCTGGGCCTAAAAATCGTGCATAATCAGGTTCGGTTGAGTCCCTGGTTAGTGCCCAATTGATTGAGACGTTCATAGCCATGCGCTATTGTTGATGTGAATGAATGCTTTTTAGTGGTGTTCAACAAAAACTGAAAAATCAAATTGAATTAAAGAAATTCAACCAAAAAAATCCGGTTAACCAGTTTGGTAGTTTTTAAAAACAAGTGGCATCTAACACACCACATAGTTCACGTCCCCTTTGGGCATCAATACCCAATTTTCACCGTCCCAATCGTATAAAAATTTTTTGAGGTGAGGGAAATGAAGTTTCCCTTATATTATAGTATATATTTATAATATTTGTATTATATATCTATTATAAATATATATTGTAAATATAAAAAACCGAGAAATTGGGGAACTAAACTGATGGACCCGTTAACTAATTGGTTTCAGTTCATGGTTTTTCAAAAACTAGCAGTACTGGGTGCCGAACCACGAACAACCCTAATGCCATTTAATGATTTACTCATTATGTCATTATTTAGGGTAAAAACAAATTAAAAATTCCGAAAGAAAATAGAAATTAGGGGTGCTTCTGATGCAAATATCTTTATATGCTGATAAGGGGTGCAATTTGGGTACATTCGGATTGGGTTTTTGTCAAAATTTGAATGGCCATGTCCCAATAGCCCTAATCCATGACATTGTATAATACTAACTCAGACCAACCCAAGCCCCTTCTGGTAATTACAAAGGCATTGAGCTTTTTTTTTTTCTTTTGAAGGGTTACACAATGGGGGGTAACCCATCCCCCAACCCAGGTGCAGGATTCGATCCTAAGTCTCTGTCCTATCCACTCCTAATTTACCCAAAACATTAGTGTTGGAGTTCAATTTCCTTGGAAATCCATCTAAGAAAGCAAGATAAAGAAGAAGACAAGAATAAGATTTCATTAAGAATACTAGTAGGGACCCATGCGATGCATGAGATTTATCAAGGAAAGTGAAATAACCAAAACTTATAACTAAGGAAGGAATGCAGTGTTGTTTAAAATAATTAATTCTTTATTTTAATAATTATTATAAAAATGGTTTACTAATTTAGTAATTTGGATGAATTATATTAATGGTTTACACTATTTTTTTCACTTTTTATTATAAATTTTAACTATCCTATTAATATTAATTATCTTTAAATAGAATTAAATTGTATTTTATTTTTTAACTTAGGAACTACTAAATTTTATTAGTTTCAAATTATTATATGTTATTATTATTATTATTATTATTATTGTTGTTGTTGTTGTATGTGTTAAAATATGGTGTATCGTGTATTACACGTTACGGGTTTCCAGATGAATTGAAACCGTTTTTGAAAATGGGTCAACATAGACCTGTTTAGCTTGTCTTCTTTTCCCAAGTGATAAAATAGGTTCTACAATGGGTCCTCTATTTTATATTTCTCTTATACAACATGTGCATTATGCATAGTAAAGGTCTCAACTCGTAAAAATTATTAATGTTAATAATATTATTAATTAATTAATTAAAATACACTAATACAAAGTTATCTAATAAAATAAAAAGAACAAATAAAACAAAATACAACATTAGAACATAGGTTCTATGTGCAATATATCTAACCCATTTTTAAATCATAATATTATTAAAACTATTGATTAATATTTTTGTAATTAAATTTCTTATTTTTATTAGTGTTTATTAAATTTGTGTTGAATTGAAATGTTTTTAATTAACATTTTAAGGAAAACCAAAGATAAATGTATTTTAATTTTTACTAAGTTTTGTTAATAGTTTTCATTTTTAGTGGAAGTTTATTGAATTTTTATGTTTGATTGTTTAACCTCAACCTATTTAGATTATTTGATTTATTAATATTTTACTTTATTATGTTGTATTGATATTGTCACACTCGTTCTCTCTATTTCTCAATCTCTTTCTTAAATGTATCTATCTATCTATCTATCTATCTATCTATATATATATATATATATATATATATATATATGTATGTATGTGTGTCTTTTGGTGACCATATGGTTAGCATGGTACTGTCCTATTTAAATGATATGGAGAAAGGGAGTAGGGTGAAGAAGAACTGGAGACGGTCAATTATCCAATTCAATTTTAAAGAAATGAAAGTGAAAGAAAACCCCATTCACCAATTCAACCAGTTACAACTTATGCATAATTTTTATCTTAATGTTGAAATGTATTAAGGTAGTTCCATAGAATTAATGCGACCTTAATTCCCGAATCATATATAAACTTTTTGTTATGGGTCCATTTGTTTTTGAGAAGAAGGAAAATTGATTCCCATTAACTAAGATACCCATGTTCTCCTTTTAGATTTATGTGGGGTTCATAGGAAATTTATTTTTCTTGGGTGTCACTTACTCGGGTAAGTGATATATATCTCCCATGTGAGTAAATAACTTTCCCACCTAGGGGGAAAGTTGCCTACACTTGGATGGGATAAAATAGCTTATTTTAATAGTGACTTTTTATTATTAAAATGGTCATTGTCTTATTTACTTAAGAAATAAAAGAACATGGACAAATACACTTATTTGAGTAAGTGTTTCTTAGTAATTAATGTCCTCCGAAATACTTATCCAGTTAAGTGCATTTACCCATGTAATTAACTTCCCAAAAAGCGAGTAGTGCCTAACTAGAATCATATATAAACATGGGGACTACTATGCTGAGCTTTATCCTTTTAACAAGGTCTATACAATAATGCAACAGAGAACCCAAAAGCCCACTTCAGCCCAAATCAACCCCATGACCACGCCCACCGAAAAAAAAAAAAAAAACACCTATGGACTCTCCAAACACCATGGTCAAAGGAGCCCGATTGGATTTCCATGTCATGGTCCATCTACAATTGGATTTCGTGAGTCTGAATTTCGACTGATCGCACCTGAAAACCCAATTTATTTTTTCTCTGTCAATACAAAATCGACTACATTATTACATTTGTTCTTGCCATCCCCCTTGGTTCATGGCTCTTGCTCGATGCATCTCACTCATCTTTGTCATCGTCCTCGTCATAACTGAAGGGGAGGGGTACTGACTTGAATGCACGATATTTACCAACATTGTTCAAGTGCTCATTTTCCAACCTGGTCGATGAAAGGTACAATACTCATCAGTGAAATAGAACCAATGTATTCAGAGAAATGCATTTAGAACTTATATTGATGTGAACTCTGCCATGTTATCCATACTTGGTAATAGCATAAGAAAGCTTTATATGTACTCCTTTTGTTTGTTTAGTTTAATGGATTTCTTTGCGTATCAAAAAAAAAAAAAAAACTTTAATTTTTAAGGTTCCGTTTGTTTTTGGATAGTTATTTATTTATGTTTTAGGTAAATAAGAAAATGACTGTTTTAATTATAAAATTATTATTAAAAAGACAATTTTGTCTCATCAAAGTGTTGATAACTTATGAGAGATGGATAAGTGATATTGGAGTATTGATTAATAAGAACCAAAATCCTACTGATCAACGTTTTCCCTCTCAAAGTAAAAAAAAAAAAAAATGAACCCTAAAAGTTACCTGAAGAAATTCCATATGCCACGACGGATGATTTCTAGGCAGGCA